GCTGAGCTTTTCCAGCAACTTTGTTTTTGCCCGTAGCCATGAAGATAGTTTCAACCATGATCTTGAGTTCATGTCACACTGCATGTGATCCCACCATGCTGTTCTGTAAAATCTTCCTCACTGTCCTGTTTTGACATCATCACCTTGATAACTTGCTATGATCTCTCTACATTAATTAGTTTGTACAGTTTGGATTACTTGCTACTTTGGTTATACCCTTGCAATGCGACTCTTATACCTGGCATGTTACTCCAGTCATTTTCTTTGTCTCCAGCACCACCTTATTATTAATCTTTTGTAATTATCTCTCCACCTCAATTAATTGGATAATCGTCATCCTTTCACTTGTTATTTAGCTGTTGACACGTTACTCACACCACCTTTACTCACACTCTTGATCACCTGCAGAGACCTATTATTCGGTCTGTCGACACTCCACTCACACCATTTGTGTGATCTTTTGATCTGTCTGATTATAAAGTCTGTGCCTGGGTTCTTTCTTCACTTCACCTGACGAAGGGGGACGGATGCTCCAAAAGCCTGCAATTTCATATAAACCAGTTGCGACTATAACCTGGTGTCATGTGACTTTTGACCTTGCCCACCCCAGCCCAACACTGGCACCTCCACATCAATGTTAGCTGCAGAGGGTGTGGAGATGAAGGATCGTGCTCTCTGCTCTATCTTTCCTGACTGTCACAACAAACATTCTCAATGGTTATTAGCATGTTTTACATTAAGGTTATTATTTATTTATTGCTCACTTAAAATGTAAAATCAATTAACTTTGTTCTGTGGTTCAACGCAGAAACATCATCCCATCGACTATGCCTCCCTATCTAAATTATTTAATCATGTTAGCTATTTTATCAATATCATTCAGACATACCTTCAGACTCTTCCCTGGATTCTGGACATATCACCTTCTCCAAATCTGGTTCAATACCTACAAGCACATTCAGAGAAATGGCAGCACCAATAAGACCTTAGAATCATAGAATAGTTACAGCACAAAAAGGAGGCCATCTACCCCGTTGCTCCATGCTAGTTCTCTGGCTTGCAGTTAAAGACCATTAAAACATGGCTTTTTGCATCTCTTTATCCTTAAAAACTTAGTCCCATATCTGAATCAAAATGGTAAGTGTTCTGTGTGCATCGCGATTAGGGTAATCCAATTCCCGGTGGGTATAGGTTCAGAACACAGAACAGGCTTCAACGTGCCAAAACTGAAAATGAATTTTAACTGTTTTGCAACAAACCAATGAAAAACTTGTACAATGAGATGGATGGGTGCCTCGTTTGTGGAATGATGGTGGCAAGGCTGGAATTTGGAGCTTGTTGAGACATGAGGGGTAGTTTGGCCCTATATCTAACCATCATTCGACTTTTTAAGTATGCTTGATACCAACACAGGTTCTCAAAAGTACTGACGTCAATCATCTTGATGAGTGCAAAATCCACACAAAAGATTCATCGCGTTACAAATTGATTTTTTTTTCAAGTAATCTATAGCTGACGCATCCATCTAAGCAAAGGCAAATAATCTTAACAGCTCCCCTCTGAATTTTTCCATGGTGGTATGTTCAAGGAAGACATAATCAGAAATAAATTACTGCAAAATCTGGAAGTGTCAGATAACAGGAACTTGAATTCTTGGCTCTTTATGAAGGCCATTTATTTTTCTTGTGAGATTAAGTTGATGGGCAAAATCACGAAAACATCAAAGTTAAAAAGTATTCCAGGAATATAATCAGCCAGATGACCACACCTTGGCCTTTTTACTAATCTCTGAAAATCATAGGAATAAATCATGTAAGCGTGTGATGTCAAAATATCTTCACAATTAATAATTGCTTTGGATGTGAGTTTGAAGGATTGTGGAGATACCTGGATTGTTTTATTTTGAAGGTCAATAAAAACATATATTGGAACATTTTTTAAACAAGCTATTTCTTGGAAACCACATGATTCCAGGTAATCTGATCTTGATTGCTTTTACTCACTTTCGGGAAAACACCTGACCCCTTGTATTGGCCAAGTTTTATTGCTGTTCTGTTTGAACTGTGTTTTGCCGGCTTGGAGATTATTATTGGATTTTCAGTTGGGGGATGCCTGCTAAGCTTGTGTCTTGTGTTTCTGAAGCATCTTTGTTGCAAAACTAATGTGAAACCTGATTGCCCTCTTGCCCTTCTCAACCAAAGACTTCATGACACTGTGTTCTCTAAGCAAATTGTGTTTACCAAGATCCCAGAGATAACTACCTATGTTTGGCAACATCTGCCTATGCATGACAGAATGTCAGTGATGATGGCCATCTGACCCACTCAACCTTATCCTTTTTGCCGTCAAGAACCAAGACTTATTGGCCAAAAGGTTTTTTTTTCCAAACATTAATCTCTACAGAGAGAAATCAATTTTGTTTTCCTTGTCTTGATCAGTTTCGAGGGAGAAGTGCACAGAGTAATTTATTTGCCTAGAATTCAGAGGTTTAATGATCATAGTTTCAATCCGAGTAAAACTTCTGATAAATAGAAAGGTCAGAGGCTAGAAGTCAGAAGTGGATCACCTATTAGGTGGCCAATTTTTCTTCTTAAAGAGAGAGATACTTGCAATTAGAACTAGTTCAGAGAAAGCTCAAGGGGCTGATTCCTGGGAAGAAAGAATAATTTTTTGAGGAAAGGTTGCACAAAATAGGCCTATTTTGATTGGAGACTAGATGTATGAGAGGGGATCTACAGAAACACAAGATTCTGAGGGACCCTGGCCGTTCAGATGCTAAGACAATGGTTTTCCTTTTTTGGGGCAATCTAGAACCAGGGGACACAGTTTAGTAATAAGGGGTCCCCTCTTTAAGATGGAGATGAACAGGGATTTCCTCTATTTGACGGCCATTAGTTTTTGGAATTCTCTTATACAAAGACCAGTGGAGAATCCATGAAGCATCAAGAGCTATGGGTTGGGGTTGGGGTGGGAGTGGGATTTGATCTGAATGGAAAATTGAGTTAAAGCCACAATCAGGTCAATTATGGTTTTATTTAATATGAAGCAGTCTCAAATGGGCCGAATGGTCTACTTATGCTGTTACTCCTCATGCTATGATTGCTTAAATTTGCATTTGTTCTACACAAATGCTTTGAAACTTCATGAACCCGGTGTACAGTATCAATCAGATCCCCAGGGCACTGATCCACACCTCAATCCCTTCTCACATTAATTCCTACCTTGGACAACCCCATCTGCTCCAATGTTGATGTCCCCAAACACAAACTGGATCTTTTCCATAGCTTGGAGCTGATCAGGGCTGCCGTGCAAGGCATTCTGCAGGATATTCTTTGCAAACTTGGCTCGTAGAGAGTCTGGTGCAGTTTGTTTGGCTTCCTCGGGGTCTGTGGGGCCCATTAAATTTCTCCATTCTTCCACTGCATTCTCCTTACTCAAAATCATCATCAATAATGGACCTCTGAACCCAATGAAGAATGGTAGGAATGAGTGTCAAGTAGCATTGATCATCTGCCTGTCAGAAGGGCACTTGGTATAAAGCAGGTATAAACCTAAGCAGAAAGTGATCCTGAATGTTCGTATACAGTGGTTGTTTCTCATTGCAGACTCCTGAGCCTCCAATAATGGTGGGTGGAAAGCCCACACTGATTATGTGCCAGAAATCCACTGCCCGCCATATTGGTAAAAGGCTAAGGAGATTGCAGTCCTGTGAAAATTGTATTTGCATATTGACATAAAGGCGTCCAATGCCAGTTGGAGGCCTATCTCTGTGGTAACAAGAGCACCAGGGTAAAGTTTAATCTGGGCAATGGAAATCTTGCCCACTGGATGTCAGGTGGAGACCCACATTGCTTCCTTTTACTGCGATTTGCCACATTAAGTACCAGTGGTTGGGAGGTGATGTCGCTGCTCACCATGTTGTATGGGCTATCAGGTAGATTTGCTGCCAGCATTCTCTTTCCTGTGGGATCTATAGGGCCCACTTGGTCCAGTGTAAGAGAAGAAAACCACCAATGAGAAGAAGCTCTTGTCTTAAACAAGATTGACTTTATTGCATGATAACAACTATGCACATGTTACATTCGTATAGTCATACAGTGATAAAGGTATGACTCTGTGACTCTATATCAACGTAACATAATATGATGATATGCTAGACTGTGAGGAAGACCTAGTTGGTAGGCCTCACTCCTTCAGGTTTGAAAACTGTTCGCCAACCAGGCCCTTATGACATCCTCACAGTAGATGATGCCTAAGGCACTCCTTAGCATTAACCCTTTCAGACCCTTACGCAACACCAGTCAAGCATTTCACTCTCCAGGGGCAGTGAGTTCTTAATACTCTCAGTAAATGCTGCAATGTCTGTATCGCCCATATCACAATCACCATGTTTTAACAAGGTTACTTAGGAACGTATGAACAATTCAGGGAAAAGAGGGAGTCATAAGCCAAAATCAGGCTCACCCTCTAGCACCAGTAACCAAGATCCTTTTGAACATCCAATAATACACTTGGCTCTCCTGACATTCCCTTTGGCAGATCATTTTGAATGTTTATCAACCGTTGAGTTTAAAAAAAACATTTGCAATAGCTTTTACATGTTCTCAACCAGCTCAGCCGCACGGTCTAAACGGTGTCCAGCCCAACTGCTATTTATACAAGCTTTTCGTGTCAGAGAACATCGTTTATTTGGTCAGAAAGAAAATCAACAGAAACAAGCAGAAAATAATGTTGAATCAAATTGTAGTTTCATTTTTCTCATCCTTCTCACTGTAGATATTGGTTGTTTTTTTGTAGAGCTTGGCTCCATATGAGTTTTCTTTGGATGACTTACCTGTTGACTGCAAGGATAGAACCAAATGCTTCGATGATTTTCTCAGTCCAGCGTAAAATTCTATAATTGCAATGTGCCCGTGGGATTCTATTCCTGGATCGGTCTTTGGAGCCTTTGTAACATATAGCTGCAACAAACAGTTTGTTTGCCTGTGGTAATCTCTGATGAGGATAGAGTCATTGAACCATGTAGTATAGGAGACCATTTGAACCATCATGCCTCTGTCAGCTTGTTGAAAGAGTTTTCTAATTCATCTCATCTTAAATCAGGGCCCTGTCACCTTGCATTTTTCTTTTTGTTTTTAAGTCTTCATTCAATTCCCTTTTCAAAGTTACCTTTGCAACTGCTTCCTACACTCTTTGCATCGAAACAACTCACTTGACTAACATAATTCTTATCTCCCCAGTTGTTTGTTTTTGCCAATTTTCTTTAATTTGTGTCTTCTGGTTACTGATCTTGCCTGCCATTGGAAACAAGTTCTCTTTATTTAGGCCATCAAAACATTCATAATTTGAACTCTGTGTATAGAGATATTGAGGTTAACAAAATATTGACACTTACTCAGACATATAGTCAACCAGTTGTTCAAAGAATGGTTTGCCCTTGTGTTCCTTATAGAACTCTTCTGCCATTTCCCTGCTTAGAGTTTTTTCATCCATATGTGATATAATGAAGCCTGCTTGTTTAATCTTCTGTATAATCTCATCTGCCAAAAATGCAAAATATTTAGCAGTTCAGTTAAAGCAAATCCTATGTTAATCTAAAAGCTTGCAAGAATCAAAGTGTGAGAGGAACAGAAATGATGCAGTAAGTGTTTGCATGTGACAAGAAGCCAGGATATCAAAGATGAGGAAACTTGAATACGGTTTCTTGTCCATTTACAATAGACATTACTCTGCACGCGATTTTTTGAACTTTCACTGACCACAATTTATTAAATGTAAAAGGTGAATAGTGTATCGCATCTGTTTCTGGTTAATTGTGTTAAAACCAAGGGAAATCACAGTGAGTCAAAATACTAAACTATCAGTCAATTAAACATTGGCAATCTCTACTGCACTCACCTAAAAACCCTCATCCTTGTTTTCAATTCACTCTGTCAATGTTTCCCATCCCAGCTTTGTAATCTCCTCCAGGTTCTTGTGCTAGACCACACCCTCTGCTCCTCTATGTATCTTTCTATATGTCTACTAATGATGGCATAGCCTTCAGCTACTTCATCCCCTATTGAACGGAGCAGTCTCCCCAAATCTCTCCAACTTGTTCCATTTCATCCGTCACCTCAAAGCCGTCTTCAAAAACCTGCCTCGCTAATCATTCTCCAGTGATTTTCGTTTCATACTCAAAGTTCCGCGTGTCCAACATACTTTAGAATATCCATTGCATCCAATGAGCTGTATAAATGCAACCCCCTGCTCTTCAATTTCATCATTAATGCTCTCTGATCCCAGAGATCTGCAGCCACTGGGTCTGTTAAAGGATTAAAACATCATTGTACCCCAGTTTACCTCGATGCTCCTCCAGAGTATCAGGTTTGATAGCAGCCAGTGTGTGCTCCATTGAGAAGAAGAACTTCAGCTCCTTTTCTGCTTCCTGGGGTGTTCCACTACCATGCAGCTGGTTAATTGGAACAGTTTCTATTGAAAACTGTGCTCTGAGGCTACAGAAGGAGTGAAACAAGTCCATGAACTAGAACAATACCAGTTTTTTCACAAGGACATTCAGAAATGTTTTGGAAAAGTCTTTCAGCAGGAACAATGTGAGATTCATTAAAGATTTACAACACATCACATTAGATTTGCAAATAGTTAGAGAATTAAGCTCAGACCGCTCAGGAAAGATGTTAGGAAGCACTTCTACACACAAAGGGCGTAGAAGTTTGGAGCTCTCATCTGAAAATGGCAATGGATGCTGTTGTTAATTTTAAATCTGGATAGGTAATTTTTTGTTAAGCAAAGGACATGGGCCAAAAGGCAGGTATATGGAGTTAAGGCACTAGTCAGCCATCATTTAATTGAATGCAGAACAGGCTCAAGGGGCTGAATGGCCTACCTGTGTCCCTACATTCATATTTACAGAAATTAATATTCTTTGACAAAGCCACCTCAAGGATTTGTAGGTCTGATATAACAATAGGATGCAGCTTGAAATTTCATCTACACTGTCCTATGCACAATTCCTAGCTTCAACATAGTACAGGGTACATAGTAGAATTTGATCCATAAAGCAGATAACAACAAATTAATAGGCACAATGACCACTATTACTGGTCTCTGTAGAGTAGGTTGAGCTGCACAGCCAGGATCAAAAGCCTGGCTTCCACCAGACCCCTCAGAACTGGCAGATTACTGGCTTCTTTCAAAGACTTTGAACCTTCAGAGCTAGCAGTACCATGCCATTTACATCAGTGTTGCTGCAAAACAGAAATGCCATCATTGGCATTGTTCCCAGTAACTTCATCGCTAGACAATGCACAGGCATGCAATATGGTTGGTTCCTAATTGCCTTCTGAAATGGCCTAACAAGTTCAAGGCAACAAACGTTGGTATTGCCAGCAATGTTCCAATTAAATAACTCAATTAACTCATGCTGGGGTGCAGTTCTGTGAGCAGAGACAGACTCTGTTCACCTTGCCACACGGCCCTCTTGTCAAGTGTGAGCTGAGACTGACTGCTTTAAATGTAACACTGTAACTGCCTTTTTGTAGGATATATAAAATACTTCATGTTCTACTCCTGCACATGGTCCCTCCCTTACTTCTTTTCCCACTGCATTGGTTACTGTATTGATACTGTTGGTTTTTTCCCCTTGAACTGGAAAATTTCAACAACTTTATTTCCAATGTCCATCCTTCTACTGCCTGCAGGCTGCTTGACCATTTCTACCCAGGCTGAGGTACTGCTGAGGTAGTCCTCACCCAGCATCCCTGCATGTGCACTTGTGAACTAGGGTCATGAGGCATTCATTTGAACCATAAAATGCAGCAAATTTCTTTCCTTTCCATCCCCAGGGTAAACAACACAGCGACCAATTTAAGAATCTTTGTGAGCATTGCCTTGACTGGGATAACGTGACTCAGTGTTGGTGATAAATCAAAACTTGGCTCCTTCTGAATCACACGCACTTATCACTCAGCATTGTAGAATATTGTGAAGAAAGCATTAAACTTTCTAAGATTAAGGTTAATTTAAAGGACAAACCTCTCAGGATCTTCCTCCTTTGCCTGATTCACATCCTTTGGTCCCAGCAGATTCCGCCAGCGTTCAACTGCGTCCATGCTAGCAAGAGCCAAGGCTAACACAGGTCCACTATAACAAAATACAGATTTACCATAGTGCCAGATCTCAAGATTATGGAGCAAAAGCAAAAACAAATCAATTGGCTTCTTAAAAGCATAAATAATTGAGAGATGAATGAAATTTGAACAAGATGGAAGATCACTCATCATTCATCTGTGTAAAATTTGCACGTCCTTTGAGGAAACACATGGCCTCCAGTCAAAAGAAAATGCTTTAGGTGCTGAAAGGATTGGATGTAGGCTCTGCTGAGAGAAGTTAGCACCCATCTCAGCCTCAAATCCTCGGGACAGAGTCATTCCCAGGGCTGGTATAGGCTGTTAGCATCTGAGATTGGAATTTCAGTAACATCTATCCTCACCCAACTTTGTAATGTCCAAAGTTGCTCTGACTTTTGCTCTTCTCGTTTCAGTGGAAACTAAGTAAGGACTGCTTCCCTGTAGGAAGTCATCAAGCCAACAGGAGAGGCTTTGGATTGACTACCTTGTGTCATAAATGTTTGCAGCCTTTCAGAATTCCTCAAATTATCTCAAGTCCTCTCTCAGTTGCTTTAAATTCTGCTAAAGCATCTCTGGAAGTACAGAATTTCTCAGAAAAAGCACAGGCTGGGATGACATAGGGCACCAGGGGAAGATCCAGCATGACAAAGCGTACTGATATTCTGTCCTGCAATTATGGGAAACCTCATGTAATTCTCCCAACAAAACAGTGTTGACATCAAACATTAAAGAAGACGATCTTCCTGAATTAATCCAGGATTGTATATTTCGCCTGGGTAAACCCAGGAATCACTAGTTTGTTTGTTGATGTGGTTAGAGGTAGCCTGGAGGCAGATGCCTGTGAGAACACTTTCTTACATGATACATGACAATCTGCTCCAGGGACATTAGAAACAGATGACTGGTGCCCACACATCTGATGTTCCCTTGGGCGACAGTAAATACTTTTAAGAGATAGTAGGAACTGCAGATGCTGGAGAATCCGAGATAACACGGTGTAGAGCTGGATGAACACAGCAGGCCAAACAGCATCATAGGAACAGGAAGGCTGACGAAGGGTCTAGGCCCAAAACGTCAGCGTTCCTGCTCCTATGATGCTGCTTGGCCTGCTGTGTTCATCCAGCTCTACACCGTGTTATCTCGTAAATACTTTTAAATTACCTTTAAGCTGTGAAACATTGTAACCAGGGATGCCTGAAGCATACTATCTGACCATAAGAAATGAGTGAGCCATTCCACCCTTTGACTCTGTTATGTCATTCAATGAGATCATGGTTGATCTGACATTCCTCATGTCTACTTTCCTGCATTTTCCCTGTAACTAACAGCAAAACAATATCTTTTTAGCGCCCCAGACGTGAAAGGCATTCAGTGGCACATATTATGTGCTAAACACATCAGTTTGAATTACTAAAATAATGCGTATTTGTATAAAGCTTTATATGTAATATTGTAACTGCCCTTTTGTAGGATATAAAAAACACTTCATGTTCTAGTCCTACACATGACCTTCTCTTACCTCTTTTCCCATTGCACTGATTACTGTATTAATGCTGTTGGTTTTCTCTCCCTGAACTGGAAAACTTCAATAACTTTATTTCCAATATCCATCCTTCTCCTGCCTTTCACAAGGTCCATTGCCAACTCTTCCTTTCTCTTCCTCAACATTTTCTCTCACCATTTCTGGGGATAGACTCTTGACTATATTCACTATCAATTTACTCCTTCTTTCAGCTATCTTCATTTCACATTCTCCTCCTGGAATGCCTGGAAGAACTCTGTTCTATTTTCCCAGTTTTGCAGTCTCATTTGTATCCTACAACACCACTATTTCTGATGTAGCTTCACTCCCACGCACACATTCTCCATTTGCTGACTGGGTTCTCAATCATATGTCAGTCATTTCCACATATCTACTTTCACCCATTCCCCTCCCCAAACAGAACCATGATAGGATTCCCCTTTTACCCAAGCAAGCAGTCTTTGCATTCAAAGAATCATCCTTCACCATTTTTATCATTTTCAGCATGATCCTTCCAATGAACACGTTTTCCTCTACAACGGCATTCCAAAAAGATCACTTCATCTGAAACACCATGGTCCATTCCTCAATCACTCCAAAAAAAAAACGCCCAGCCCGTCCAGACAAAGCAATGATTTACTGGTACTCCTGACAATTTAGCATACAACACTTGCTGATTACAGTGTATTACTTTCTACATAAGGGACACCAAACACTGATTGGGTGACCACTTTGCAGAACATCTCCATTCAGTCCATAAACATAAGCTTGAGCTTTCAGTCACTTGTCGTTTTACATTTCAGCCCTATTCCCGCTCTTAGCCCACTGACTCAACATCGAGGTCAACCATTTCAAATGATAATTTCTGCCCACGTTTTACTTGGAAGTAAGGATACGTTCAGGTGATTAACAAGAAGAGTGTTTAGCAAGTTGAGAATGGAAATATTGCTAAGCGGGTTAAATGGTAGGGATGAGATCAGGAGGGTATTTGACAATACTATAAAAATTGTAAAAGACTTAGAATTTAACAATATTGATAACCAATTGAATTTGCTATAGGCAGTTAAGTGATTACCAATTAGCGAATAAGCATTTTTAATCTTTGGAATTCTTTCCTGCAAGTAATTCAGTAATGAAGAATCCTCTATCCCACAGGCAAAAATTTAGTTCTGATGCCTGTCATATTAATTATACCCATTGGGGATCCAATGTACAAAATCCCTGTGAGATTGTGCAAGAAATTCTTCAATTATAGCCTTTAAATCTATACACAGGTTGTAGATACCTAACTAGGAATTGGTACCTGGTCATGTTCTGAAGAAGAACTGGGAAGTATTCTTCCTGCGTGTGCTCACTGTAGAATTCGTAAACTTGTTTTTCTGTGAGTACAACCTCCTTCTGCAGGGCAATCGTAAAACCAGCTTCTGCAATCTTCCGCAGGATATCATCTACACATTGAGGATAAAGGATTAACATTAGACAGATCTCCATGAACAATGTGAAACGGCAGAGAATTTGAATAGTTTTCAAAATCAATGTCTATTATTGATACTGCTAATGATATATTAATGAATACAACTGAATCATAAACCACAATGTTCTCACTAATCATAAATGCTGTACACAGTAAAATGGCCTCAGAAACAGAAAAGTTCTATACTTTTAGCAGGTTACATTTACTCTGTGCTCACGATGCCTCATCCGGTCTATAAAGATCTTTTATTGTACGAGTCTCAAGGTTCACATCACCCAGAAAGCAATCTGTGGTTTAACGCTAAGGAAATGGTTCTCACCTTTTCTCTCCTTTAAGAGATCTGGCCTGATTAGAGCGAGTGTTTTCTGAACCCTCTCCTCTTGCTGAATCGGAATCTGGGCTTCAGATGCTTTTCCAAAGCTGGGGAAGAAGAAGGCCAACTCCCTACTGGCGTGGTCCATGTCATCACTCCCATGAACTGCATTGAATACATGTTCAGTCCCGTACAGAGCTCGGAGACTTTGGAAGAAAATCTACACTGTCAGAGATGACTGGAGAAACCAACTGAGGTCACATCAGTGTTAGTATTCAAAGCAGTCAAGGAGTTACTAATTAACATACTTAATTTTTTTATTAATGTTGGTGCTCTTTATTTTAAATTGTTTTGTTTATTTTGAGGGCTAGTTTTAACACTTTTGATGTATTCTCTCCCCTTCTGAAATCTTACAGCACTGCGCAGTGGATGAGAAGCTGACGTCCCAATCTAATGACAAAGGCTCATAATGAAGCAGAGGCTTGTGCATACACAGAGATGGATTTATTCAAGTTACTCACTGCCACGTTGTTTAATTTACCACTGGAGTTTGAACAATCTTTGAAACATGCCCCTGGACCCCATTACCTTTCAGGCTTCTCCTGTTTTGCAACTTCGACATCTGTTGGACCAATAAATTCTCTCCACAGTGGAATGACATCAACTGTTCCTTCAGGTCTGGACAGGATCAGAATATGACAAGGACCGCTAGACATGAACTGAATCAGCTCCTCAAAATGAGCCTATAAATTTGACAACAAACAGAGTTATGGAAAATCAGTATGGATCATTTGAAATATCTTAGTTTTAATTGTGTCAATTTTTAATGATTTGGCATTTTCTACTTTCTTCATCCTTCCAGTTTCTAATTGTTACTTGCCAATTGATGACCAGGTGACTAGCTTAGCGACAAGCTGATGCTGCTCAATCTTGCCTGTCTCCACCTTTCTGCAAATATCATACTGAGGTGCACAGAAGTGATAAGCTATCCACTTTTCTCTCACTTAATATAGGCAAAGGGTTGTCCTGTTCTCAACACCTTTCCCAGGTGGCATGGTACAGTATGAAGGAGGTCTATTGCAATCATCACTGTGCCACCTTAGGGCTACGTTTCACATTTCACTCAATTTTTTTTCCTGAATTTAAGACTGAATCAGTGTTTACGTATGGGATGTTATTTTCACGATAAAAACACTGACACATTCTTTCCAATTCAAAGTCTTTCCCACTCACCTCTTCGGCTTTGTGTCGGTAGAAATCGTGGGCGTCTTCCTTGGTTAATGTCCGTTCTTCATGAGCTAAAATTTTGAAGCCTGCTTCCCGAATCTGAGAAAACACTGAGGAACTTTAGAGGGAACCTTATTTCCTTTGTTTGGAGGCTCTAAGTAGACTTTACTCTATCATGGATTTGGTAATTCCAACATTAAAACAATCCAGGCAGTAAAACAGACCAGTGCTGGGACCCCCATCTATGTGTTCTTGTGAACATTCTCCATTTAATGTGATTTTATTTTCTATTACATCCTTATTATTTTTAAGTGGTTGTTAGGTAAGTTGGGAGGTGCTTTGATACACAAATGTTTGATAAATGTTTGACAAGGACTGGCATGGTGGCTCAGTGGTTAGCACTGCTGCCTCACAGCGCCAGGGACTCGAGTTCGATTCTACCATCAGGCGACTGTCTGTGTGGAGTTTGCACATTCTCCCCATGTCAGCATGGGTTTCCTTCAGGTGCTCTGGTTTCCTCTCACAGTCCAAAGAGGTGCAGGTTAGGTGGATTGGCCATGCTAAATTGCCCTGTGGTGTCCAGGGATGTGCAGGCAAGGTGGATTAGCCATGGGAAATGCAGGGTTATGGGAAAAGGTCAGGGACTGTGTGTCTGGGTGGGATGCTCTTTGGAGGGTTGGCGTGGACTCGATGGGCTGAACAGCCTGCTTCTACACTGTAGGGATTCTATGATCCTAAGTAGGAAGAACAAAGTGACACCAGGTAACACCATTTCTGTCTAGAACTGTTCATGCATTATAACCCTGGTGGGTCCTGCAGCTATCTTTGCACATGGCACAGACTGTAACATCTTACTAACAAACTGAGTCTTCAAATCACAGTCTTGATGATGAGAGTCAATGCAGCCATTATGCCATGCTAACTTCGCAGTCATACATACACAGGTTCCAGTGAGGGTGGTGTGGGGAGTGCCATGTCACAAATGTGAACATACTTGCTTTATTCTGAGCTACCTGCTAGAGAGTGCAGTCAGACAGAGGTTGTGAATTTAACTGAATAGAGGATGAGTCAAGAGTTTGACAAGATCACAAAGTATAGGGTGCAATTTTATGAGGTAATTAGGTAGATTGTACACCACACCCACCGTCCCAGAAGATAAGCTGGCCAGAGGCCGAATTGCTCCATGCGAACCTGCCCTTCAGCAATTACATACTGGGATGGCCTAAACAGGCAAACAGTGAGAGTTCTACGCCCTCAGTTTGAGGGAATCCCAATGCTAGCAAATCATTACTCTTGGCAGCTAGAGATGTCAGAAGTAAGAACTGTCAGGAATGCTGGGAGAATCCAGAGGAGGATCGTGGTTGCCTGAGAATGCAAGTCCCAGGGTTTTAAGGGCTGGAACAATTCAACAGAGCAAAGAGTGAGGAGAGTGGGGTTGGGGACGAGGTTTTGGGTTCTGGTTGGATAAGCAACATAGAAAGAGGTGTGGGTAGCATCTTGGGGAGGGCAGTGCACCCAATTTGTGTAGAATGCTCTTGGAATGAGGTGCCCCTCCTCCTTTCTTTGTGCTTTTGTTTATGTAGCCCGTAGAAAACAGACTATCCACTCCCAAGCAGCTGCCTACACAAGCTCTATCATAGCATGGGCAGTGTACACTTCAGGGAAATAGACTTACTCAAATGCTTAATTGATTTTTAATCATTTATTCACATATGGTCAACAGGCTGCCTGTTTCGGTGCCTACCTACTTTGTACATTATGGGATTTGCTCAGGGCAGAAGGGAAGTTGTGGGTTAGTCATGTGACCTATTGCACTAAAAGCACGGCCACTGAGGGGAGGTATAATTAAGCCCGTAGAATAGCTGCAACACAGAAAGAAGCTATTCAACCCATTGAGAGAGAGTGTACCAACTCTCTGTGAGAACAACATAGCAAGTCCTAGTTGTCTGCATTTTCTTCATAGCCCTGTGAGTATTTTCTTTAAGATAATAATCCAAGTTTCTTTCTAAAACTACAGATGAATCTGCTTTCCCCACATTGGAAATTAAATTCACAATCTTACCACGTAAAAAGGTTCACTTGCAACGTCTTTGGTTCTGGCCGTCTTAAATCAATGAATTCTAGTTTTTGATACTTCCATAAATGGGAACAGTTTTTCCCTACCTACTGTATCTAGATCCCTCAAGACTTTGAACATCTCAATCAAATCTTCTCAGTTTCTTCTTTCGTAAGAAGAATGGTCTATAGTCTTAACTAAAGCTCCAAATTTCTGGATACATTCTTGTGAGTCTTCTTTACTCTCTCTCATGCCTTCACACCTTTCCTAATGTGCAGTGCCCAGAAGTGGATACGATACCCCAGTCAAGGCTGAACTAGGTTTAGCATAGTTTATTTGCTTTTATACTCAATGCCTCATTCATAAAACCTAGAATACTGTGTACTTTATTAACTGTTAATTCATTCTGTCCTGCCACCTTCAATGATGTGTGTACATACACCAAGTCCCTCTGCTCCTGCATCCACTTTATATTAAAGTATTTTGTTTTATATTGTCTGTCCACATTCTTCATAAAAAAAATTCATCACTTCACATTAAAGGAAAGACTGAAATGTTCAGTTAAAATTGAAAACATTTATCGTCAGTCGTCAAGATTTACATTAAATGAGAAAATCACTAACAGTTTAAACCAGGAAGAAATGACTAATTTTGTATTTACAGACTTCAAGGGTAAAATGGAATCCAATCACCTTGAATCTCAATAGATTGAAACAAAACTTTAATCGCAAACAATTTGAAGTTCTGCTTCTCACCTTCATTATTATTTCATTTGCTTTCCCATGAGCTACGGCATCAGGTTTGATGATTGCTACTGTGTACGATTTGTTGGTAGTAACTGTATTAAAGTAAAACAAAACTTGTAACTCTCAAATGCAACAACTAAAACATAGGGAACAGGATCTGGAGTGGGCTATTCAGCCCCTTAAATCTGCTTCTCGGCTAAGTACAATCATGGCTGCTTTGTGATCTTAACTCCAATTTCCCACTCCATCTCCACAATCACTAAATTCTACCACAATTCAAAATCCATCAGTCTCAGCCTTGAATTTACTCACTGACCAATCAACAGACCTCTAGGGTTAGAGAATCATAGGTATTCACAAAGTGAAGATACTTCTCCTCAAAATCCTAAACGACTGACCAATTTGGTTTTAAAATGCCTCTCTTTAGAAAAAAGTTCAAAGTTGTGCCCATAAAATTTGAACTAAGCCACTAGTGCTGTCTTCAATTGTCTTATTACTGATGCCTATGAACAGTTGTACCATCATCTCCAACATTAAACGAAAAAAGTTCACATTTTTGTCAGTTGTCTCTCCTTCAGTTCTCTCCTGTCTCTGGGTGGTAGCTGTGATTTAGTGGGTAGCACTGAAATTAGAGGGTGTTGGTTCAAGTCTTATTTCAGAGACTGATGCGTAAAATTGTGGCTAACATTCCTAATGCAGCACTGAAGGGGCACACTCTCAGATGTGCTGTCTTATGGATGAAATTTTAAACTGAGGCCCTCTTAGATTGATGTGAAAAATTCCACAGTCCTAATTCAATGAAAAGCAGGGGAGTTATCCCTGGTGTCCTGACCAATATTTATCCCTCAAAAAACGTTGTGAAAAACAGATTATCTGCTCATTAGCAAATTGACATTTGTGGAAGATTGCTGTGCACAAATTGGGAAACATGGAAATTAGGAGCAGGAGTAGACCATTTGCTTCTTCAAGTCTATTCCACGGTTCAATATGATTATGGTTCATATTCTCGCTCAATACCATATTCCCATCTATAAAATCTAAAAGATATGAATTATTTTTCTTGAATCAGTGACTTGGCCTCCACAACCTTCTCGATAAGAGAATTCCTCAGGTTCACTGTCATTTGAGTGAAGAAATGTTTCCTTATCTCATTTCTAAATGGTTTACCTCACATTTTGAAACTACATTCCCTGGTTCCAGAATCCCCAACCTGGGCAACATCCTCCTTGTATCTAGTCTGTCTAGACCTGAGATAATTTTATAGTTTCAATCAGATATTCTCATCCTTCTAATCACTAGTGAATATAGGGTAGGTCAAATCAATGTCTCCATAATCCTGCCATCCTTGGTATCAGCCTAGTATACCTCCACTGCACTGCCTATATGGCAGGTATATCCTTTCTTAGGTAGGAAGACCAAAACGGCACAGAATACTCCAGGTGTGGTCTCACTAAGGTCCTGTACAACTGTATCAATATCCTGTTTCTGAACACAAAGCCTCTCTCAATTTGCCTTTCTAACTATTTGCTGAACCTGGTGGTTTATTTTCATTGACTGGTGTACAAGGATACCCAGATCCCTTTGTACATGCACATCTCCTAATGTAAATAGAGATAACAAGGTGTAGAGCTGG